ATCATTTGGAGAAGAGGTTATTATCTGGAAATCTATAGACAGATGCAAGGATTACCAAGAGGCAAGAACAAAACACAGGGTCAGAAAATGGCTGCAGGCATGTGCAATGGGTAGGCAAACCTGAGGTTTCCAGAACATTCAGCTTTAAAACTGGGACACTCCTGGGTAAACCACAATAGTTGAGGACCGACAAGGAGGGTCTGATCTACCCATGGGAGGCAGCCCATTATTGAACCCTGAACTTGGCCATAATGAAGGCCAAAAAATGTGGCACAGAAGGTGGAGCAGGCCCTTCAGTAAAATTTCTTTGTGCCGAGTCCCTGGATTACCAGCCCAGAGTCCTGATCTAGGACCTGAGGCCAGAATTGGTTGGCTTCAAGTCCGGGGTGGGGGGAGGAATCAGGTAGAAGACAGATATGACAGCAGGGTTAGGCCGTGCCTTAGTTTCCCCATCTCTTATGTGGGATGAATAACTGTCCCTGCCTCCTAAGACTGCGTGTGACTACATAAGTTAATAGGTAGTAAGTGCTCAGAGCTGTGTCTACCCATAAGAATACACCAAGTGTCAGCATGGAATTTTCAGGAAGAAAATCTGTATAGCCCTGGCCTGATCACTGCTCTTCTCTTACAGTCACTGCCATGTCTCCTTCCCTCTCTGGTCTCTCCTCTAGCACATTCTTTTTAACTGGGAGAAGAGTCTTTTCTGGCCTTCCCCTTGGAGACCTTTTCAGTTTATCCCCCACCTCAGTCCTTGTTCTTCCTGCAGCACTTTTCACAATACCACTGGCTGGAATGTTTCTATTGCCATGTCCTTACCATATGGAGTTGAAGTGAACCTGTCCAGGAAAGAGCAGTGAATTTATTTTTGTTTCTTGTGACTTTAAAAGACAAAGAGTAGAAGATGAATACCAGGGGAAGGGAGCTAGCAATAATTGAGTCCTTAGAGGGCTTGAGATAGATGCCTCACACACGTTAACTTACTTACCCTTGCAATGATCTTGGGAGGTGTTATTTATCTCGTTTTACAGAGGAAGAAATGGAGGGTAAATAAGTTGCACAAAGGACCATCACTAGTAAACAGAGAAATCAGTTGCTAATTTGTTCTTTATTTAGCGTAAACATTAAGGAAAAGATTCAGCCCATTAAAAACAAAAAAAAAAGCTTCATGAGCTGTGTAGCCTGCAGCAAATCAGTACAGCTTTTGGACCTATAGTTTGAACATCTGTAGAATTAGGAGGCTATTCTGGAGGGACCTCCTGTTTGAGATCTTGAATTACCCTTCTCAAAGAGGGACTTCCTCCTGCCCAGCTCAAATCTCGCAAGAACTGAAATGATACACACAGGAAATAAATGCTGACTAGTCACCATTCCAGACCAGTCAGGAGAAGATGAGGAATTTGCACTCATTGTCCTGCCGGGCAGCAGTTGTCCATCCATGCTCTACCTGTCCTGAACCAGGGTCTATGTGGGCAGGAGGAGGGATCTAGTGCTAAAGGGTTTCTACATCACCAAATGGGGGGTTTCTACCCCTCATAAAACCCCCACCTTCTGCCCCAGCTACTGTAAAGCCAGCCTACCTCAATCCTATCCTCACTCCCTGTGCAGCCCAGGTGCTCCCCCAACCAAGACAAACAGACTAACTTGTCTGTGCTCCCCTGAAGCCTGGGAGAGCACTGCCATGTGGAAGAAATAAGATAAATAAACGTATGGGAAACAACAAAATCTACAGCAGCACGTGCACCTTGAAATTCTAGGAGACATGAACAGGAAGGCATTTCCTGACTCCCTGTGCAGTCTGTACTTACCTGGCCTAGGAGGGTGGGAGGAACACACACGTATGTGTGAATAAATGTACACGTGCATAAGTGCATGTATATGTGCAGACTGTCTCTTTGGGATTTGTTAAGCCTCACACACGAAGCACCCAAGGTAACAAATGAACTCTAATTCCATTGGAACCATCCAGAACCAAGGCTTTTAAATAGCTATAGATTCTGACCTCCGAGCACAGACTAGACAAAGGAGGGGTTGAAGATGCCAGGGAAGCTGAGTTTGGAAGAGAAGATAAAGCCTGCCCCCTCTCACCATCCATGTCCCTCCCCCCATCTTTGCCTCCCAAACCAGCCCCCAACATGCACACACCCAAAAATAAATTAAGCCCCAATATGAGCAACTGTATGTAAGACATACCTTGAAGAGGTGTGTGTGTGTATGTGTGTTCGGGTTCGTGCACAGTACTTGATCTGAGGATGACCACCAGAGGCAGTGTTTTGATTTAAGTCAAGTTTTCTTTGGCCCTGCTGCATCTCACAGCTTATCCTTTGTTCCCATCACAACCCTTTTCTGGCACCCATCCAAGCAGGTCTGTGCAGCTCAACTAAATTTATAGGACATTCCTCCCGCTCCACATGGTGCTTAGGAATACAAAGGTATTCTGGTACCAGGTCTGTCACAAGCTTTGTGACCTCGGACTTCCTCAGTGACTGCGTTCTTGCTCTACCTTAAGAAACGGGAACAATGCAAGAAAGGTAACAAGGTATTCGTGCTCAAATGAATAGCCTAAGCTTTTCATCAAGCAAACCCTTATCTGTATGTTTTAAGATAAAGTAAGATGTTTAAGGTTGGTGTGTTTCTTTGTCATCATGATTATTAGCTTTTACCAACTTTTTCAAGTAACTGATCAATAGTCCTAATTGCAATTGATGAGAACTTCTGCAATAATGCATTAACTCCTATTTTCATTAACATCTACCATTTGTAAAAGCGTAAGGGCACATTGTGCTGGAGCTAAAGAGAGTGTTCTGAAGGGGTGGGGCCGGGACACAGGGCAGGGACCCATCCTGGCTCAGGGCCAGGTTGGGGGTTTGGATTGGAGATCAGGTTGGTTGAAGCACAGGAACTTGTAAGGGAGTAAACCAGGATGTAGAATTGAGTAGGTAGAGTAGGGAAGAGGAAAAACTATTATGCACCAGTTAGTATGTTACATGATTTTATATACTATCTATAATTTTATTTAATCCTAATATCCTGAGAATGGATGGGGCTAGGGACCATGTTCCTCAGGCTTTAACAGGCTTTACCCACAAAGGTAATTGATTTGTTTAATCTCATTTAGTGGTCAAGCCTAGATTCCAACCCTCCTTTTCTGTCTCCAGGGCCAATGATTGCTTCTATTCATTTTGCCTCACTTTCCTAATTACTCCCAGGTTAGCTTTCTAAAAATACTATCTGAAATGGATTATATATGCAAATGAATATAAATAATATATGTATTATTGAGGAAGACTAAAATAAGTACATGAAGCCACCACTCAGCTTAAGTAATAGAATATTACCAGTATCACTAAAGTCCCCACATGTCCCTCCCTGATTGCAAGTCCCCTCCCTTCCTGCCCCCTGAGATAGCCACAACCCAGAAATGCTAATGATTCCTTTGTCCTTTATAATTTTATCACCTCTATTTGTCGTGTATTTTTTCCATTTGCCCCTGCAGATTCATTCTTCAGTCATCCCCATCCTGCCCTGTGCCCCACACACTGCCTAGTATGGACTATACCAGGAGGTTCTCTTCATGCCTAGCTTCCCCATGGATTTGCCCAAAGGGAAGCACTGACAGGAGACCAGAGGCTGAGAAAATTAGGTCAGGAGGTTTGCTCCCCAGGCCCGTGCCTGCTGGGCCCCCAGTTTCATTCCTCTGCCAAAGACAGGAAGCCTCTACAGCCAGCTATGGCTGTTCCCTCCCCGACCCTCCCTTGCGCCCCCTGGTGTTGGGGTGGTAAAGCTTCCTGACATGTCCTAGCTGGTTTCCTGAATCTAGTTTTTCTCCTTTTTTTTTTCACAATCACCCCCTCTAAGCAGCCTTTTCAACTTTTTCTTTTCTAATTTTCTTACATGAATTTTTAATACCACAGCAGACTGTGTATCTGTTTATGTACTGTACGTATATCTGTGCTTTATATATAAAAAGAATAATATATTTTGTGCATGTAAGAACCAATTATCCCCCCCTTGGAGTGATAGTACCCTCACTGGGAATGCATGCCCTAATCCAACTCACATTTTTTTTTTTTTAAGTAAATCATTTTTTAAAAAAGATTTATTTATTTATACAAGCACTGGGTACAGTCAGAGGTGCAGGAAGGTGAGAGAATTCACCAGAGCGGAGAGTAGAACAGGCAGAGTGACGAAATACACTGCTGAGGGGGGCAGCGGGCGGCAGGAGAGGTCTGCGTGCCATGTGGGACCCTCGCCTGGTGGCCGGGGATCGAACCAGTGCTGCAGAGGCTGCGGGCAGCTTCGCAACCCAGCGCTCAACCGCTGCGCCACTGGGGAGGCCCCCAATTCACACTTTTGCCAAGAGTTCCTTTAAGAAACTGTCCCCAACCATCCCTTTTGAGTGTGCCATCTCCTTGCCAGGGCACTGGCTAATACATATCTGTGTCCCTAAAAATTATAGTTTTTTTCTGGGTTTTGAACTTTACATAAATGTAATGGCACAGTGTATTTTTTCCTTGTCTTGCTTTTTTCACTCAATATTGTTTGTGAAATCCATCCATGTTGATTATGCAGGTACTGTTCATTTTCAGTGCTGTATAGTATTGCACTGAATGAACACATCAACATTTACATGTTCATTAATTGTTGGATGTTTTATGGTTACTTTGAACTTATGGCATGAAACATTGTTGTACATGTCTCTGGGTATTGATATAGTATTGATACAGATACAAAGGTGTAGATACAGGATGTGTGTGTGTGTGTGTGTGTGTGTGTATGTGTGTGTGTAGACTCTTGAGCATGTACCTACATGTGGAATTCCTGAATTGTAGGGTGTGCCTATCTTGTCCCTTCCAGAAAGTTTGCTCTTATACTTGTACCAGTTTATACTAACCCTGATAAGTATGAGAGTTCTAGTTGCTCTGCATTCTTTCCAGTATTTGTTTTTGTTAGATTTAAAAACTTTTGTCTATCTGACTGATATGAAATAAAGATCTCTTTGTGGATTTTATTTTCATTTTGCAAGGCACAGTTTGAGCGATCTTTCACTTGTCCCTTAGCCCTTTTTTACCCTGTACATGCCTATGCCTGTTTATGTCTTTGTCCATTTGTCCATTGGATGTTTCTTTCTTCTTGATTATTGGAATGCTTCATACATTCATATTCTTCATACGCCAGTTATATATGTTGCAAATACTTTCCCCCAGGTTGCTGTTATCTTTTCACTCCGTTAAAGGTGAAGGCTGCTGAACAGAAAACTGTATTAATCATTTTCTTCATGGTTTGTACCTTTGGTGATTTATTTGAGATACTTTTTTTGACCCTGAATTTATAAAGTTATTCTATAGTGTTTTTTTAATTGTGTCTCTTACATTTAATTTTTTGTTCTATCAGAAATTTATTTTTGTATATCATATAGAATCCAGTTTTTTTTTCCATATTAGTGGAAGCCAGTTTCCCAGCACTACTTATTGACTAGACTACAGTCTCCCTTGCCTTCTCCCACTCTATAGTACCTTTGTCAGATACTTACATGTGTGCAGGTCTGTTCTGGATTCTTCTCTATTCCATGGGTCTATATTGGAATACTGCACCAATAACACAGTTTTAATTTCTAACTTAATGATGTCTTAAGATCTGGTAGGGTAAATATCTTTCCTTTTTATGTATTTTGTCTGTCTTTGCTCTTGACTCTCTCCCATAACAATTTGTTTTTTAAAGATTTGCTTTATTTGTTTGTTTGTTTGTTTATTTATTTATTTATACAAGCATTGGGTACAGTCAGAAGCGTGGGAGGGTGAGAGAATTCACCAGAGCCAGAGCGGGGAGCAGAGCAGGCAGAAGGACCGAAGTACACTGCTGAGGGGAGCAGAGGGCGGCAGGAGAGGTCTGTGCGCCATGTGGGACCCTCCTCTGGTGGCCGGGGAGCAGCCAGGGATCAAACCAGTGCCGCAGAGGCCACGGGCAGCTTTGCAACCCAGCGCTCAACCGCTGAGCCACCAGGGAGGCCCCACCCACCTTGCTGCATGAACCTGAATCAAGTCAGAGTGTGTATTTAACAACGATTGATCAGTTGGCATGTTCCCATAAAGAAAAGATGACCGACTGAAATTGATAAATCGTCTTTGTATGTAGACATTGACTTACCGCCATTTTTATTGAACTGAGTGGGAAAATGTAAAGTCAGATTACAGAATTTAAAAATGAAAAAGAAAAAGGATCATGGCGACCACATTTTCTCTGTGACGGTAGGTAGAAGGAAAAGAATGACCAACCAAGAAAAGGAATGTTCTAGAACAGACTGCCCAGAGTAGCTATTCTACCCTCCACCAAGGCAGTGTGAACACAACTTGGCCCCTTGCTCTGGGCTGGGATCCCACAGTGTCAGATGCCAGGTATTGGCATCAAGGATTTTCCAACAAGAAAGCAGTGCCGCAAATCCTTTGTGAAGCAAGATAGGTTATAAATAGACCTATAAATTTTTTTTTAACTAGAAGGCAACAGGCTTAGCACAGCTATTCTTCCCTTTTGGTTCGTCTGCCTGCACCTCTTTGCCTATTAAATCCCTGCTACCAGGCAGATCCACCTGCCTCTTAGCCAGTCAGCTGCAGCAGCCTCTGGAGAGCCAGGGTGGAAACTGGCTTCTGTTATGATTTCAGGTTGTGACCTTGCTTGTGGAGGAGAATAAATCTTTCTATCTTATCTCTGGCTAATTGGGCAGGAGGTAGACAAGAGAAAATTTATTGTACAATTTGCCACCTTCTGACTAGAACACAAATGTATCCGTTTTAGAGGCAGACTCTGATTTTAGTGAAAGGCTGAAAAGAAAGGATGTGGCCTGGGTTTCCGGGACCTGTAGTGCAGGCCTGCTCAGGGACAATGAACTCTAAGATCAGAATACTAGAAGTTTCACTGACCAATTTACATGTGACTGTGTGTGTGTGTGTGTGTGTGTGTGTGTGTGTGTGAGACAAAGACAGAGAGACAGATTGATTTCATCCAACAGATCCAAAGGTATTAACATGCATATACTTAGAGATTATTTAGTCTTGTGCTTCTCAAATTCCATTGTATGTTATACTCACCAGGAGGCACAGATTGCAGGGTCGCACCCCCAGTTTTCGATTCATTCCATTCAGGGTGGGGCCTAAGAATTCACACCTCCCTTGAGCTACCAGATGATGCAGCCAGTCTGAAGACCACTTTTTGAGAATCACAGACTTAGCCCAACCTCCTGATGTTCTAGTTGAAGAAACCAAAGTCCAACAGTTAAAGGAAATAAGTGTCCAAGGCCCCAGGGCCGGCTATTGGCTAAATTCAGACTAGAACAGAGACTCCTAAATCCTAATCTGGTGCTTTCCCCACTACTTCAGACTGGGGCGTGGCCAGCGTGCCAGGGAGGTGCCAGTCTAATAATAAACATGTTATCCTTTAGGCTGAAGATTATGAGTCTCCAGGTTGTTTCCCCTTCCCTAGTCCAACAACACTGGCCCTGCTGACTCAGTACAAAAATAGCCCAGCTCAGCCCACTCACCCCATCAGCCAGTGGGACTTAGAGTCAGGTCTTGTGCCTTCTCCTACTGACTACTTTTCTCCCCTCTTATTCTTGCTAACAAGTGAACCAGAGATCTAGGGCCTCTGGTGACCAGTACATATTAGCCCCGAGTTATAGCTCTTCTTCATCCTCCATGTTCACCAGAGTTTTGACCTTGGTGTCTGACATTTAACTTCCTTATTCTGCCTATCACCTGGTCCTCTTTTGTGCCTACAGCTCCACACTGGTGACCACCCACTGGTGAGGGACTATGCTCCTGTTGGTCCCGTTCCTGGGCTGGATAGTTGACCTATACCCAAACCTGAGAGCCAGGTCCTACAGGGCAGGGCAAAGCTCCTACGTGGTATCTGCCCACACAGAGGTCTTCCAATACTTACTATGTCTCAGATTCCCTGGGGCTGCACTCCGCTGGCCAGACTGGACCTGGCTTGACCTGTTATGAAATCAAAGCTGAGATTGTCATGGTGTTGGAAAGCTTGTCGACCCACCACTGGCACTTTTAGGGCCAGCTTCACATCATGTTGGTTCTCCAGTCCCGCCCCATCCTGGCCATGTGCCTTCATTCCCAGTAAGATCCAGCATAGAGATTGCTCTTCACGGGCTTTGGTGCTTTCTGCCAGCAAGAAGGGAAGAGCTGACCCATTGCAAGTTACCTTAGGGCTTCTATTCACTTGGCAGTGATGCACTGAAGGCATGATCAGAAAAGAAGCGAAGGGTTGGCTAAATTGTTCTCCCTAATGAATTGGCAGATACGAAAGGTGAGGGAGAAAATGCATGTGGGGACCCTGGAGGACCCAAGGTTGAAGTATGGGACAGCGCGGGCACTACAAGATTCCCTGTGTAGCGCCAGCTATGGCTGTTCAATTTTCATTTCTCTGCTGTGGAACAATATGACCCTTCCTTGCTCCAAATCTTGATATAACTGTGTAGTTTTTGTTGTGGTGACATGGAGAATGAGAGAGCAAGACGAGGCCTAGGAGTGTGACTGCTGCACTCACCTGTGCCAAGACTCACGTGACTAGCAGCTTAGCCATTCAAGGCTGTCAGCTGTGAGCTCCAGCTGGGTGACACCAGAGGGGTAAGCAGTGGTTCAAAGGGGCTGGGAGAAGCAGAGAGGGCTTGATGCAGAAACAACTGCCAGGTAGACAACTCAGGCAGGGACAGGAAACATAACCCCCTGTTGGCCAAACATACTGAAGGCTTTGAAACAATGCTTAGCTGACTGTGCTGAGTTATTCTGGGATTCATTGTTATCACAATGTAACCATTTGGGAGAACTAACTGGTGGTGAAACACACTGGATTCTCTTAAATTGAGACCTAAATAACTTAGAATCTATGCATCTGTGGTCAGGGGTTTAGGTGAAAATATCTTTTTTCTTCTCTATGAAGGAACACATCAGAAATAGAGACAAGATGATAGGCTCTGTGAAAGAACAATTTAGCAATTTTTACATTCTAAAAAAGGATTTATGACACTAGGAAAAATAATTAGCAATAAATGCATTGATATTTTATAGGGTTTTATGATTTTAGAGAATTTTTTAAAAGCCCTCAATGTTTTTTTCTCTCATAATTTATTTTAAGAATCAGCCCAAACCTCTGCTATTCACTCCCTGCCCTACTTCTTCCCAGCAGAACCTCTATGGTGAGGAGATAATATGGAAAACCAGGTTACTGTTTTGTAAAACCTCCCCAAAGCATCCTGGAATCAGGCAAATTTTCCTTCTCTCCAAATAAGTGCCAATCATCAAGCCTGGGTGGATGGCCAGGATATTGCAGTGGGACTAATACAGAGAAGGGGAAAGGTTCTTGCTGAAATCTTTCCCTGTCCTTTTTTTGTTCCTAATCCAAGAACTGCTGGAAAGTAAATCTCAAGAGCACACCTTGGTTCTTTTCCTGGGAAAGCCAAACTTGGAAATGACTAGCCTCTCTGGAATTTAAATTCTGGAAGGAGACAGATCTGGTGGCCTCTGACTGGAGAGGCTGATGGATTACATCCAAGCCTCCAACAGACCCAAAAAGCTGTCAGGGTGCCTGGATAGTGTGGCGTTGATCTGGACGATGCATTCCAGATGGTCTGCCTTCCTTCCTTGGCTTTAGGGCTAGTTGGAGCTCCCGGGCGGTCTCCCAAGGTAGACCCGCAGGGAGCTCAGGGCAGCTGTCCAGGTGGGAGGGACCAGGCTAAGGATCACTGTGGCAGGCTTGGAATTAGTAGGAAGGCCTCCCTCCTTTGTATTGAACATCTGGATATCATTTTTCAGGCTATTAAAAACACTAACTCTACTTGGCTAAATGCAGCCAATGCATTTAGAAAAATGAAGCAGCACTGAGGGGACAATTCCAGGCCAACCACTTGCCCCCAAATGGATCCACATAAGATTGGACTATCTGATATGATAAAGCTCAGAGAAGGAGTCCCATAACTCTCTAATAGGCCTTCAACCACCACCTCTAGCTCTCAAGCAATGACACCACTAACTGTAAAGACTCAGTCAAGGGCAATGCCAAGGCTTTGCAGTATATTTTACTTTTAGTTTTTGCTTTATTTTAACTTGTGCAGAAATGTACAGGCAGATGGAAGATTTTCTTCCCTGTTCAAAGCTTTCCAACTAGGTTACAAAAAAAGTAAGCATGAGACAGAGAAAAGGGTCAGGACAGGGAGAGGACACAAGAAAACAGACAAGAGCCTCCTGAAAATTCTCAGTGAACTCCATGGTCTGTGATTCGGCTCTGCAATTGAATTTTTTGGGTTTTGTTTTTTAATTGTCGTATTTTTCATGAGGTAGAGTTCGTTTACAACCCTGTTGATTGAATTTTTTTACTACAAAGAGGAGGACTTTTGTGGTCCTACTGCAGCTCTGTGGTTGGGCGGTAGCCTGAGTTGGGTCAGCTATTAGCCATCCCCTCCCAATCAACCTGGGGAGGATCCAGGAGGTGATGAGCAAGTTTCTGTCCCAGGGATCTGAGGCTGGATGGGAGAGAACTGGTTCCCGTTCTGGGGGGATCTGGGCTAATGAAGCAGCAAGTCCCAGTGCTGGGTAGTTTCTGGCTTTCTAGAAGGGTGTCATCACAGAGCAACATGCACGAAATAATTCCCAGGGATTGGAGTCCATAAATATCGACGGGGCACAGTGAAGGAGTGAGTGGAACAGGTTGGCGTTATGCAGAAGAGTTGCTGAAAGGGAAAACACTCTCTAATCCAATATTATACACAGGAAGCCTGGGTACAGACCTGCACAACCACTCAGTTTCTGCCCTGGTGCTCGGAGCTGTGCATTAGTGAAGTTATTTTTGACACATTTCCAGAAGGTAGGTATCATAAAATTAAAATCATCTTATTTGAGGAGTAGAAAAGTCTTCTAGGGCCTCCTTGGTGGTGCAGGCGGTTGAGTGCAGCACTGTGAAACTGTCCACAGCCTCTTCAGTGTGGGTTTGATCCTGGCTGGCCAGGGAGATACCCACATGGCACAGAAGACCTCTCCTGTCTCACCCACTGTCCCCCTCAGCAGTGCATTTTGGTCAGTCTGCCTGTTCTGCTCCCCACTCTGTCTCTGGTGAATCCTCTCACCCTCCTGTACATCTGGGCTGTACCCCAGTTCTTGTATAAATAAATAAATCTTAAAAAAAAAGGAAAGTCTTCTACATATCTATCTCCCAACTTAATGAACTACCTCTGATGGTAGAAAAACATGCTTCCTAAAATATTCAGCCTCATCTACACTGGAAGAAAACAATGACATGTGGTACATACTCAGAGTAAATATATAGCATTATATAAAACAAGCCATGAATAATCAAGTAGCTGAATCTGTATACTACAAACTTGTAGAGACAGAGCCCTACTTTGTAAGTCCCCAGATTCCTAACTGATGCTGCTTAACTAGGTCTTTGATCATCAGGCAGAATTAATATTCAGAGACCTAATCGGACCCTCATCCTCTTGGTTGCCTCAGCACATACATCTACAGCCTAAGGCTCAGGCCCTCACCCACCTTGCTAGGGCTTTCCTGGGCTGCCAAGCAACTCCCTGCCATAGCTCAAGGTGTTGTTAATTACTGCTGATCTCACTCATGGCTATGAAATGCCAGTCCTGGTAACCGCTTACCATCAGGCTCTGTCTTCTTGGAGTCATACCTCAGGCCTAACCTTTATCTTTTTTTTACAGTACTGGAACATTGACAGACTCCCAAGTGCCACGAACAATCATTTTTTGAAACTCATCCACATTGTGGTCACTGAAATGCGTCATGAACTCCAACCAATCCTTCTGAAATAATATTGTTGTAAGTGACAGGTACACAAGGAAATGGCAGATATTTTTACCTCCAGACTTAAATGGGAGTGTTTGTTTTGTTTCTTAGACCAGGAGACTTGTCTGGTGGAGAATTTACCTGGATTAGATGTTTCTTGCTCACATGAATTTTGAGAGAAATTTCTCAAGGGGTCCAGACAAGTGTTGCCCTCATTTCCTCCACAGAGTAATGTTAGTAGTTCTCTCGTGCACACCTGGTCATCATTGGCAGTATTATCCCGCCTGAGGTTAGGATTCTCCCTCTCATTCTCTCTGAACCTCTCCCCTTGCGACTCCTGCTTCTCCTAGATGTATCCTCAGTTGAATGAGGGAACTAAGGATTCTACCATTCAGGCACCTAAGAATGGTCCCAGATCGGCTTGCCTAGGAAACAGAAGCAATGAGGTGCAAAGTGTCTCTGCCCTGTCACCAATTTCATGGCCACCCACTCTTCATATCTTGGAACTGCCTGTGAGCTCTTCTTGAGATAGAGTTTCCAATGTCTGCTTACAAAGAATAAGCCAGGAAACTACGTGATGAGAACAGTAGTCTCTAAGGCTCAACCCTGTAAGGGCTTGATCTAGATTTTGGTCTAGATTTTCTAGGATAAATCACTGCCCTGAGGAAATTAGCTCAGCTGGTCACTGACTTGACCAATAGCAATGACTCTGGCCCAGAGAGCCAAGGAAAACTCCACAGAAGGTTGCTGTTCCTCCCTGTGGCTTTAGTGGCAACGCCACATGGATGGGTCTGCTGATCCATAGCCTTCTCCTCCCCCACAGAATGTAGACATCAAAAGAATCCATATTCCCTGGTATCTGCAGAGGGTTTGTCTCCCTGGACATCTGACCTGATTTGAGTTACCAGAGGAGAATCCCTCAAACCAAATCTCTCTCTAAGTTTTTTTAAAGATTTATTTTATTTATACAAGAAACCGGGGTACAGGCCAGAGGTGTGGGGGTGGGTGAGAGAATTCACCAGAGACAGAGTGGGGAACAGAACATGCAGACTGACCAAAATACACTGCTGAGGGGAGCAGTGGGCAAGTCAGGAGAGGTCTGCCGCGCCATGTGGGCATCTCTGGGGTCGGTGGGGATTGAACCAGCACTGCAGAGGCTGCAGACAGCTTCACAGCGCTGC